GAGGAGGAGGAGGAGGAGGAGGAGGAGGAGGAAGAAGAAGAAGAAGGTGGAGAGGTCCCGAAGAAGGGGAGAGGTGGAATGCGCGGTTCTCGAAGGAGGAGCTGTCGGCGGTGAAAAATCACGCACCCCGCCACCACTCTGCTACGGCCAGCGCAGCATCTGCTCTACATACCCTGGCTCTCAACTTACCTACCAGTCTACCCATCCACGTCCACCGTCTCTCGGCCGACCCGTAAAAATCGTTCAATCGATGACCTCGAAGCGCGCCTCGCGCCCATGGTGCATGCGATAATCGATTCCCTGTGAGGTGAGGTGCGCGCTACGCAAGCTCCTCTCGAAATAATTGTGCCGCACGAGGTAATTATGGCTTTCGCAGACTATACGAGCACGCCGTTCTCTTTGTGATGCGTAGAGAGAGCACGGCACAGGCACTTTGATGATAAATTTAATCTCTACTCCTCAGTCGCGCGAGTCCCGACCAAAGATAAAGACGTTGAAAATTCCGAGTGAACCGGGCGTACTCACGCTACTTGAACGAGAGGGATCGTATCACTTACATATAATCGCGACGTCGCGATATAATTTCCCGATTATCCCGATGAATTACTTAATTATATATAATCACATGTATATGTACATGTATATGTACACGTCTATTTAGATATTCGCAATACTAAAGTCGAGCTGCTCTGTGATGATACCTTTTTATCGTCTCCGCACGTACTGAAATCCGTAGCCTGATGGTTCGCCAAATTAATTAGTCGTGCGGGAAGTGATACGTGAAAAAGGGAACGTCTGTGAATGTACTCATTATTATTCGTAAGCCGTGTGTGACGACGTTTCTCTCAATGAACGATCTGGTTAGTTCGTACGCGCGACGGGTAATCGTCGCTATTTTCGGAAAGTACCTTCGGAAAGCACCGGCGACGCGCTTCCACGAAGGCACGAGAGCTCATCAATGAGAACCTCGAAGAATCGGAGTAGCAGAGCAAGATATACGTGTGCTGGCTGGGCTACCGGTCGGTCGGGTCGGGTCGCTGTTCTCCTGTGTTTCATCTCTCTCTTTTGCTCTGTTTTGCTGTTCCTCTACCCGCTGCCTTCCTCTTTTCACCTCCCGGCTTATCGCGCTCGCTCGCCCTTTCTCTCCCCGTGGCCGTTCGTGCCTCTCTTTCTCCCGCTGCCGCTCACTCCCGAGAGTTGTTGTTCGACTGTTTTATTACTTTTATAAATACCGCCGCCACGATGCTGCTGTTGCTGCTGCTGCTGCTGCTGCTGCTACTACTACTCGCCCGGTCGCGGCTCGGCGGGTGTTTCCTTTGTTGGTCCACCGAGGGACCCATTGTTGCTTGCGGAAAGATGCGAATTTTAATTTGATATTGTCTAATATTATTTATGTATGCACGCGGCTAGAGAAACCTGCGGTATTCGCTCTTTTCGAGGGCCGCCTGCCTCCTCGCGCGTCGTGCCGTCCATCGCTCTCTTCCATTCAATAGGAGCGAAACCCGTAGCGTCCGACAACTTAACTCCGCACCGAAAGTCCCGTCCGCCGTCTCTTCGCGCCAATTCTGCTTCACGTGATCACGTGCATTCGAGCTTCCTCGCGAGTCGCGTTATGACTTCCGCCCGGTTAATTCGAGAACGAATGAATCGAATGAAATTACGACGTTCGTGCGTCTTCATGATTATGATTTAACGCACAGTATTACTCAACTTTATCAGTCACGAGGTAACGCCGTCAATTCTCCTCCACGACTTACGTACAAGTCTAAGAAGAGGAGTCTCTTTCTGCCGCCCAGTAATCTCTAACCTATTCGCGAGTATTCTCGGCCGTCCTTCGGCATGTTCAAAGCTCCGTGCAAATCGTCACGTCTCGTTCCCCATAAGCGTAATCTAATTATCGGCGTTATATGCAAGGTGTCCACCGAGCGCAAACGAGGCTTGCGCTAGACTTGCGCGTACGTGCTCGGTCCACCTGGGGAAATCAATATCAGCCAACGTCCAGGTTCACTGCGAACCGCTCGCACGACGGTACGCGCAACAGTTGCGTCGGGGCGAGGAAGACGTTACGAACGAGGAATACGCAAGCCGGCGTCTCGACGCGCCGACAGTGTTGGCCGACCGACACGACAATTAGAAAGTACATCCGGGGCGATCAGCGATTCGTGGCGTTGCGCCGGGAGGGCGACGCGCGCGACTTGGCGAGAGAACGCGATCGGATGTGCACCATGTTGCCATGGAAATCCGCGAGAACGATTGCCGCGAATTAAAGGCGCTCAGGTAAACAACAGCGCGCTGCTGGTGGTGGTGGTGAAGGTGGTGGTGGCCGACACTCAGCCAACATGACCGAGAAGCGACTGTCGATGGGCATCAACGTCAGCATTCTGCTGATACTGACGATATTCGGAGTGCTACTGTCCCTACCGTTGCGATTGTTGTTCGACACGAATTACGACAATCGGGACCGCGACGGCGAAGAGACTAATGTCACCGACCCAACCGCCACGGGGAGGACGCCTGTGATACCGATGGATCATCGAAAATTGAGACGTTGCCCGAACCTACCGTACGAGGATCGTCTAGTGTCCGTTTTTCAGAGCGATTACGATGGAAATTGCACGTATGCGCAAGACGACGACGACGACGACGATGATAATGATGATAACAATAGGAATAGTGATGATGATGATGACGACAATGACGACGACGATGACGACGATGACGACAACGACGACGACGATGACGACGACGACGACGACGACGACGACAACGACGATAATTCCGAAGAGGAAAAGAATAGCAGAAAGAATAGGAAGCTTGGCGAGATTAAGAAGGATATCGACGAGCTCATGAGAGAAAACGCTGAAGATATTTTAAAAATGCGCCAAATGAAGTCAGTCACGGTCGCGGGCCACATACTCGTGGCGATGTTGCTCATATCAGTAATAGCTGCTCTCATTGAAGTACTGCGAATACGTTTCGAGTTCGCCAGAGAAAAAGTACTGCGCCACGTATTACCCAAGTTTTCAAGCTCGCGCGTTGGAACTTTGTGTCCTCAAGAACGCGTATACTGTCATTTTTCAGCCGGTGAGACATTGTTCTCTATCTTCTTGAAGATAACTCGATATCATTTCGAGCGATTGCTCTAATTAGACGGTCGACTGTTCGAAAATAAAATTGCCACCGCGCGCATCTCGATGGAAGCTGATAACCAAGTTCCAACGCGAGCAATGCAATTAAGTGCACTGTTTATACATGGAGAAAAATAATTTTGTTCTTTTAGCAAAATCGTCGTTGCTACTGCATGTTCGTAATGACAGCACAAAAATTTAGTTGACGTAACTAATTTTACAAATTATTCGTTATCAGAGTAGAAATAAAGTAGTTGCCAGAATAAAAAAAATTTGTTAAATATATTTATCCTAAGAATCATGTTAATTTGCTATCAATGCAAAATAATATATCATTCACAAATTTATTTGCTATCGGAGCAAAACTGCAACTGCTTATATAAATCCATCATGGTTCTTACAGCAAAATAATTTGTAGATTCAGCAAATAGTGATTAGTACTCTTAGCAAATTTTTTTGCTGTCCATATAATAATGAAAAAATTTTGCTAGACTAGTAGAAAATGCTGGGCCAGCAAATTATTTTTCTCCGTGTAACAATTTCTCGAGCACGTTATCCACTATCCGCACTTTGCATCTACGTGTTACCAAATCTAAATTAATTGTCCGTATGAAATACATACACTCTCGATATTTTGCACCACGTTCGAAGATTGATTGCGATATTCGGCAGAGACCGACGGATAGAGGCTTCGCGCTACTTCGCTCGCGGAGCTAATAGCTAGGCCGTCTCTCGATGCTCGGATAGATACGCATTCATCAAACTATTGCACCTTTTCTTTTCAAAAATGCATAAGGATTCGTCTAGGGCAAGCACGACTACTTCTCGGAGATGCTCCTCCGGCGTGGACCTACCCGCTCTAAGACGTCCCACTTCAAGAGAATTAATTAGGAGTCAAAGGTCCTTCGAGATACAAGGAATGCACCGTTCCGCATTACGTTTGTTAGGTAAGCACAAAAAAAGTAAGAGTAGTACGCAATAAAAAAAATTATCTTTTTAAATGTTCATGCAAAATTGAGGAAATTATAAAAGAAAGCATATATCCTCACGCGATTAATTTTTCAAAAATTTCCAAGTTCTCTTGCGCAGTCTATTGACAACTCGAATATTCGAAATTTATATCTGATTGGTTTCTATACACTGAGAAAAATGTTTTGATATTTGTAATTATAATCATACAGAAAAATTATTACTTCTCTATAAGTTGTCGAGAAAAACATTTCCTTATTAAATTCCACTATAATGTTAGTGATAATGATTTTACATGCATGTACTTTAATATAAAAAAAAAATATATATATATATATATATATGGATGGTGCCAAAAATAACTATAATTTTATTTAAACTAATTATTTTTCTTTTCTCTCAATATACATAATAGATCCACGGCCCTTCCCTGTAGCGATATTTTGCACTAAGCAGTTGTGAATTTGCATCTTTAATTAACGAAAAGTACTCGCGATAATTATAAGAGTCCCTGTGGAAGGAATTCTACGTGTTTTGAATAATAAATTATCTAGTTGAATAATAAATTATCTAGTTTGCTCATTGCAGCTGTATTTTTTAATCATAAAAGAACTGAAAGATGCCCGTGACACAGTGCAGAAGGCACTGCTACCGGTGTGAGATAACGCTTTAATGCGGTTAGTGGGCAGACATAAGACAGAAAAATTTAATTATCCACTCCCACAGGAGCGCGTCCGCCTCCGCTTATCCGCCGCTCCTCGTTCCCGACACCACAAGCGAAGCAAGCCGCTACTTCGTCTTTTTGTGGTACGCCGACCAACCGGCTGACGCGGCGTCAATCGGCTGAATCGGACGAAGAAACCCGAGTCGTCACCAATATTCTTCATCATCGCATCCGTCTAATACGACGCCATTAAGACGACACGAGAATAGGTAAAGATATGCGTTCAATTCGCACATTTTATCTAACAATTTATCTAACGATCGTACTACTCGTAGATACTACGCACGGTGACTTTTTTATCTCTAGTTCAAATCTATGTTTGTGTTGCTTGGAATCATATTTATATAATTGTATAAAAAAATAGTTATTAAATGTTCACGATATGTAGAGCAATAAAGAGCTCTGATTCAGTTGTTCGCGCGATTCGCGCGTCTTGTGTGCAAAACAATTTCTAATTCATTCTCGTCTTTTTTCCAGTAATATCTCAGTTCATCGAATCATTTGCAACCGTATCGGTGACAACAAGTGACAGAGTATGCGCGTTTCTTCGATTGAACGGTATGTTTTCACATAACAGTCCTTGCATGACCTACAAGCTTTAAAAGACATATACTAATATCCGAGCCGAAATTGTAGTTCTACAATTAATCATGAATTCCATCAAGATTGATGTTACGAACTATTATTTTATACTACCATTTCTTCCACTCTGAGTTATTTTTAGAAAAGGACATTTCAAAATTACTATTTAATATTTGCTCATCTCAAAATATTTTATATCAATATACAATTATTTTTATATTTTATTCTTGATATTCTTCACTATACTCGATTATCTTAACATCCTGTTTGCTTTTCTGAGTCTAAAAAAGTTCCGAAAAGAATGAAATAAAAACAAAAGAAATTATCCTTCAGTCGACCAATATTTTTTGTTGTATGAAATAAATGCAAGTATAGGATAAAAAACAATTAATCATAAATTCACAAAATTAAAATTATCAAAATACACTACTTGTCATACAATGACGAAACGTAGTGAAAACACTCGGAAAATACGCGACTCACGAAAGTAGATTTAACCGCTATGATAGTTTGGAATGTGTTTGGAGAATGTTGATTGTTATCATCGCGTTTGGCGCGCGACAGTGGTTGTTATATGACGCGAAATAATGTAGCTTTTGTGTCCTTTATTTTGATACACTTGCATATCGCGTACTTGTCTGTAATCGAGTATTACGTTACTTATTAAATATTTCCAGGTATATAGACACGTTTTCCAGATGTACACACGTTTTCAAGTATGCGTAAAATTATTTATTATATAGAATGTTGTCGATGTTAATTGGCGAATTTATCGAGAATGAGGAAATATCCAAGTCGAAATGTAGGTATTTACAAAGAATCCTATGATTATTTATCATTATTTGACAAATAATTATAAATTAAATCCTTTATAACTTGTCAATCCATACCCTTGTACTTATTTTATACATGCTTCATATATACTTATGTCGAGTAGATTAAGAACAGAAAGTCTCGATATTATTCTCGTAGTCGTTTGAAGGTAAACAATCCAAAAAATTGCAATCTCAACAAACAGCTAATATGGTTGTTTACTTAAAATTGCAATCTTTTGAATTGTTTATCTGCCAAACGACTATGAGAATAATATCGAGACTGTATTCTTAACCTACTCCACATAAGCTTCAAATTAATGTATCATTAATTTGAATATTCAAAGTTTTCGAAAAAGAGGCGAAATATCTATGGGCACTTGGCAGTATTCTTTGTAGGATTAATATAAACTACTTAACTCGAGTATAATGGTATTTCTTTTTTGTCAACAGGTCATACGCAACGCACAACGATCACGTGCAATGACTTTTTTAACGCTCGTGCAACGTCGAAAGGTCTTTCACCGAGAAACAGATCCACAATTGTATCTTCCATTTTACCCCTTCATAGCGGCTTTAATAGTGCTTTATCTATGCGACGCTTTTTGTATCATGCTATCGACTAAGTTCTGCTTTCTAGCCACGCGATATTTTGAAAATATGAAAAGAGAACTCGATAACACACAAACGTCAAAATATTACCAAGCCACGGTGGAAAGCTGAATTGCATATAGGTGCATGCAAGGACTAGTATGCTTAATCCAGCAATCTCTATTTTCCATATTAATCGCGTACTTTAAGATCATGTAATAATCAAACGGAGAATTGCGATGTTGTCAACGCGATCAGTTTAACTCGACGATTGGTGATTTGTTAATGTGTGAATAATAAATTCAATATCAATCTTATAATTATAATAGTATATTACACTAAGTATATTTAATGCACAGACTGTCCTAGAATTGTATATACCAGAAGCAAGTTTGTATTAATTTAATCGAAAATAGAATAGAGAATTAAAGATAAAATACACATTTGATAAAAAATTGAATCGTGAAAAAGAACTGATATTTTTTTAGATGTGTAATTCTGATGTATACTTTAATTCTAAAAAACACTCTGTGCATTAAATAGGACAGATAGATGTGCATTCTCGAACTGACAGTACAACGACCGAATATATTTATTCCTGCAGCTGTTATTATTTCCTTAATGTTTACGATATTTTTATTGCAATAGTAAGAAACTCTCTATCGATGTATTAGTGGTCATACAGGTCAAAAAAATTTATGTAAGTCAAATGTCTATGAAAGTTACGACAATGAGCTTTATCAAAACATACAGATGCAAGTCTGCGTATGTATGAATAATTTCAAAATAATTATTACTTCTTTCTTACATATTTTCGTAATAAGAAGATATGATTGTGTCTCTGTATCAACGAACCTTCTAACCACTTATTCCTGTGATTATCATACTTTTTCATGTGATATGTACAAAGTTATAAATCGCGAAATGTAATGTGGATGTGAATGTATTAATCATGTAATGTTTTTATTAGACATACATATTGCGACTAACGTTTTCAAAACTGTGATACGCTCTTTCACATCTATGTCATTACACAAAGCATGTTAAATCAAAGAAATATATTGATGCGAAAAATGGAATAGAATTTTCTAAGTATATTTGTTATGCATCCTAACATCCTAATATTCCAACATTCCAACACTCATCAAAACAATAAAATCAAAATATAAAAATTATAGATTTTAAAGAATGTCTTTTCTCTTAACTGATACAAAAAAAATTAAATATCACTTTTTTACAGTGCTATTTTGATAATTGACATATATTGCTATTTTAATATTATATATACTATTTTAATATTATATATGCTATTTTAATATATATGCTAATAATATAATATAATATATATGCTATTTTAATACTGACATACTAAGTTCTTTTAATGAGAAATTAATTTTGGAAAATATCATTTGCAGTTATTTTATCAATAGCAATTATTTTTTACAATTATTATAATTGTTATTTACCCAGTCACTGTTTTGTATGTATGTTTATTAATTACATGATAATACATTTATATTTATATATTCCATGGTCGATAATTTTATCAGTATCGACATCTATGTAAAAATATTATCACTATGTAAAATATTATCTACTAAAAATATTAACAGCCACATGAGAAATTGTCAAATAGTAATACTATCTTGCTAAATATAACTTTACTTCAAGAAAAAATTAAGATTTTTTAATTATACATTAAAATATAAGTTATAAAAATAATAGATTATAGACAATGTGCTCTGATTTACTATATTCGGACGTCTTATCTCAAGTAGCAAAGTGAAGTTAAGTGACGTCTTAATAAACGTCATTAAAATGTCACCCTGCTATTTGAGATTTGATTTTAATTCGAGAATAGATTATACGACTTAATATACAAAGGTCGTATATTTGTTACATGTTATAGTCATTTGATCGACTTACTAAATTTTCCTTTCGTACATTGAGGGTGAATGCAGGGTGGAATGCAGCGAGTTGATCTACGAATAATCCCACCGCGTTGCTCGGCATTGTCTACACAAATATTCATTTTCACACGCGGAACTTATTTTCGACGCTCCTGGTGATAATTTACGCGCGAAATATTTCTTCGGCAAACCAACAATGTAAAATGTCACGATTCGGTTCGAGCCGCCATTAAGGTCAAATCACACTAGCGATTGGCGACAGATGATTGACGATTGAAGATTGGAACTTGACCAATTGGAACAAAGCAAGCCAAGGCTGAAGCTTGTTGATTCGTTAAAATCTAATCTTTAATTGTCAATCGTCAATCATCAATCGCTAGTGTGATTTGACCTTTACGTGACGATCGCGCGATTCTCTCCTCGACAACCGACTTTCGACAACCGACTCCGCAGGATATTCACTTTCGACGATTGTCTTTTCCATGGCGGATGCGCGTAAAGCATTTTCGGCTCTCCCGACGACAATTCTCACGAGTGACATTTTTCTTCGACGAATTGTAAGCGTAAAATGCTACGATTTTAATTCGATCCGCCATTACGTCAACAATCATTCGAAATCAACAATCGTTCGACATTCTCGACGATCTATTTCGAGAGATATTTATTCTCGACGCCTATCTACTGCAAATACGCGACACTTGCGGTAATTCTGTTTTACACACTCGACTCAGTTTCAACGACTCGTAAATATAAAGAACATAATTTGCGCTTCCCACCGTTCTAATATGATTCACAGAAAAGTGTAGAATTGCGTCAATATTCATGATCTATTCGGAAAGACATCTGTTTCCCGCACTATTTACCGCGATATTTTACTACGACAAACGCACGAAATCTGTCTTTCGCATTCTAACTCACGTAGGACTATTCGCGTAGAACTCTACTTTGGCAGATCAAGATTACGCGTCATTGTGATTTAAAGTTTGAACCGCCATTACGTACGTATGAAACTTTGCTCGATATTACGGTCGACCCGTTTCGCGAGATATTTACTCTCCGCAACTATTTAGTGATACCATTTTGTGATAAATGCACGCAGCACTTACCGGTGGTACTTCTAGTCATTATCCACGCACGAAAATCGGCATCAGCCAATCGAAATCGCAAAAAATACAAAGCGGTTTCCCGGAGGCGTCCTGCGGTGCCGGTGGTCGTGCCGAAAGAGACCGAATTGAAGTGAGCCCATTACAACGACGATTGCGATTCTCGAAATGCGAGTGTTCTCGAGGTGCGAGTATTCTCGACTCACTAGCGCCGCTTGTAAGGACCCATAACACCCTCTTTTATAGAATAATTTATTACAAAGTATAAAATATTTATTTATTACAGAGTACACAAAGAATATATTCAAAGATATAGTACTCGAAATATGAATAATGTGTTATGAGGTGAGAAAGCTCCGCATGCTTAGTAGCTTATTTCGCACATTTGTCTCGCTTGGATAACGCAAAAACATAAAAAGCAACGATTTGCACTCTGACCTATCACGACACGATAAAGTGCAAAAGTGCAGGTGTAAGAGTATTATTTCCGATGATTTGTCCGGCCGAAATATATCATATCAAATATATTTGATGTGATATTTTACCACGACTAAATGTACAATGCCTATTTCTCGCATTCACAACGATAATTTATGCACGGGGCTCAGCTTCGGCAGATCAACAGTGTGCATCATTGTGATTTGAATTCCTAACCGCTACTGCGCAACGAAACATATCGGCAACCCGTTTCTCTCTCAATGACTACATCATGATATCACAACAAACGAGTGCAACACTTACGTACGGTGCTTCTAACCATTATCCACACACGAGACTCAATTTCGACGAGTTAAAATTGCAAGAGATACGGACGACTTCTTCACTGCAAACTGGCGCGCACGGCCGTTAAAGTACTAGATGGATATCACAACAATTCCGACTTATCGAGCCAACCAATCACAATAATTCATTAAAACACACTTGACAGACGTATTGCAATCGTATAGTACATCTGTTCTTTAGAACTACACTTCACTACACTTTGTACAATTGTTTGTAATTTTTTGTTTTTCTCCTTATAAAGTTATGAAATTAATCATTTCATATTGTACAAAATTTGATTCATCAAAGACTTTTTTGGATGTTAGTTGCTGCCATAACTGGGAGACAATATGGAAACGGTAATTATTAATTTTTTCTTATTACGTTTGATATTATGTTTGATATTATTTATTAATACAAAAATAATTATTCAATATTTTTAAGTTGTTAATTACTTTTTATAGAAATAAATTAACAGTATTTTCTTAATTATTAGTTTATCTTATTTTCTCTTTTAGTATACAAATTATATCTATATAAAAAGACACAAAATAATAATTATATTTTTTTAAGTCTGAAGGAAGACGAATCCGTAAATCATTGAGGACAGTCTTGACAGTGGATACTTACTTGACAGATGCTTTTGTTAATTTGGTAGAAAAATTTCTACCGTTGAGACAGTTGGAAATACATTATAAATTTCTAGAGGTATACCTAATCATTTATTTATTTATAATGTTTATTAAATAAAATTATTTAATTGTAATTGTTTATATTCCTTCTTTTTTCAGTTATCATGTCACGGTATACCTTGGCTCACAACTATTCTGATATTTATTCAGATCTTAGATAACAAAAGCTTATTCCAGATGCAAGTTAACCTTATGATAGGTAAACCATGTAAAATATAATCTTTTCATTACTTAAAATATTGATATGAGATACATAAAAAACTAGTACTACTTTTCTATTACAATTTTTTCAGGATTGCTAATTGACATTCTTTTAGTTTGCATACTAAAAGCAATAATAAGAAGAAGACGACCCAGTCTTGATAACAATTTATTTTTTATAGGTCCTGATAAATATTCCTTTCCATCTGGACATGCGTCTCGTGCTGTGTTTATTACATATTTCTTTTTTTATATATGGCCTATTTCGTTAATATTTGCATCACCTATATTAGCATGGTCTGTTTCTGTATGTTTATCGCGGTTATTATTGAGAAGACATCATATACTCGATGTATTGTTTGGGATACTCCTTGGTATCTTGGAAGGGTTAATAGTTAGTTATATTTATTTAGAACAGGAGACATGTCTTAATTTAATATCATGGATTTCCAAAGATATGTAAACTTAAATATTATTTAAACATCACTATTTTTAAGAAATTTGCGAAATAATATTGCTTTGCAGAACTACAATGAGTGGGCTTAGTAAATATAACATACAAACTCTAGATTTTAAATTAAAATTTATTAAAGATTTGTATAATTCACTATGGTAGACATGTCATTCTGTACTATTAGATTTGTGTTGCAATAATTTTATATCATGATCAACTTCGAATTCGAGAGCTTTGTTAGCGTTATACGATTGGAAAAAACGTTTGCCATGTTCAAAAGTCGCAATCATAATAGCACAAGCTGGAGCTACTTTCACCAAGCGTGGTGTCAATCCTGTGAATAAACCTTTCAATCCATTTTGATGATAAATTTTTTGTATTATAGACCATGTATTGCTACTGCGACTAGGCTTATCTAAAAAAATTATAATCGTTAGTAAGATATATTATGTTAATTATTTTCCTATAACACATGTTAATATTTACCAGAATAAATTTCTTTTTCACCCATTTCAATTTGTTTGTGTGTCTTTACAACATCAAATGGTATAGTAAAAAATGCTGCTACCTGTAATTGTGACATTTTCAATTTAGCACAACCTTGTAGGATATATAGATTGTAATATATTTGTACAATACATACTGATCCAGCTACTGCTCCTGCCGCTAAGTTGAAAGTAAAGCTGTACTGTGCGCTCTGTGTATGTGTAGTAAAAAACATTCGCTTTATATATTCATAATTTAACCAGTATATAGCACTAAATGGGACATCGCGAAGAAGTGTCGATCCTAAACCCATCCATAACCCAGATATACCACTATATTTTACAACAGTTTTCAACGCCTGTGTTATTTCTGAAACACAGAAAGCAAATTTAGTATTATCAAAGCTTCATTATCAATTTCATTATTATTTCATTTTGTATTATTCACTTTACCTGAATAACTCAGCCTCTGCGACTGCATTTTTGTTCTTATCAACTCTACAGGACTCACTAATGTTGCAGCCCAGATTCGTGCTGTACCACCAGCCACCATGGGAATCCAAAAGGGTTGCTCCATATTAATTGTCTTTCCCCTAAATTTTTTATTATATGTGTCCTAAAAAAACATATTACAATATCGTGATTAACAATACAGAATATTCCAATCAGATATAATTTAATAAATGTTAAATAAGTTTAAAATAAATGAAAACACACACAAGAAAAATATAGTATTTCTTAAAATTACCTTGAGATATAATCTTAATTGTTCATACGAAACAAAATATATAATAGTAGCAGGGACAGCTAGAATAAGAGTAGGACTCAATCCACTCCATAATGATGTTAATCCTTCTGTTTTACTTATTTTTATTAAAGCATCCTTGAAACAGAAGAGGCAAATAAGAGTTTCAAAATATAATTTAGATCGTAGAATTTTAAAAATATAACAGATTACAATCATCTAATTGTTATACATACTATTGTTCCATTGAATTTTCCATTCCTTTTCATCCACTCAGGCATTTTACCATTAGTGCAAGGACATAAATGATCCATCAAGCCGTTACAGTACAGAAAACATTTGTTTGAAAGCATTGCTTTCTGTTGTGTTTGAAGACGTATTTTTACTACATCTAAAGGAGTAACTGAAAGCAATAGAAAATATATAAGTATCTATAAATTTTATTTTATATTTAAAATAGTGATATGTGACTTAAAAATATCACATGACAGAATATATTCTTACAATTTTCATAAGTATGCAGTTACTCTAAAAAATTGTGCAATATCTTAAGAATCAACAATATTCATTATACAACTGACATGCACATAAGTATACCAACTTACCAAATACCGATGTAATAAATGCACCAGTACAAGAAGCTATGATTTGTTGATACGGTCTAATACGAAACCTCGGATCATCCAAATCGATGTCCATCGACATATTACTTATTTTATTCATCGTTGAGAGATGATTTCAAACTACACTGACACAACACTATGAAATCTTCCACAAAATAATCTCTCGAAGTGAGCCAGTCATCAATTATCGCACTCGTGTGATAATTCATAAGAAAAGAATAACGCACGTGGTATTATGATAAAAATGTCTCCACAAAAATAATCCTGCTTATCATTTAATAATAACATGTCACTTAATTAACCTTGCTTATATATGCCTGGAATTTTTTTTATCCAATTGATCACGTTGGTAATATTTATGAAATAATTATGAAATGGTAATATTTATAAAATAATTATGAAATTTCTAGTTACTATGTCACGAGTTTTCGAAAGTCTATCAACCGGTTCTTGTTATTGCATCACACTAGAACATGATCGGAGAGGTGTGTTCAATTGTACATTTTACACTTTATTTTTTCACACTGCTCCATTTATCGTCTATCTAAATTATGAATAAATATACGTGCATCTTTTTCCTTTTCTCTCTTAATGTATATGTATATATTATTTAAAAACAGAAAGACTTCATGTATATAATGTTGAATCCTAATATTTGGAAATAGAAAGAGAATTTGGCCAATCCGTCATTGAGTTATACTACTTGAAAAGAAAAGCGTTCCGTACATGCGTGCATATGAACGCAACTTTATGCGCTACCATCGCTACTATACGACTGCCAAAATCTAGGTTAGGTTATCAATAAGTTAGATAAGTTTATTTACAAGTAGTTATTCCACGCTCTCTCTGCAACGGTAATATAAATAATAATTGTGTAAATATATTTTAAATATATATATTATATTATATTAAATATATATATTATATTAAATATATATATATATATATATATATATATATATATATATGTGTGTGTGTGTGCAAGAAAAAGCAATAACCCAGAATACAAATTACGTGCAAAAGGTTAAGTAAAATTAATTTGATATGTTTACAGAAAATAAGAGCGATGGCAGAAAAGAAACAATTCGACGCATTTTTGGGAGGCTCCCAATCATTACCACATGAAGTATCTATTATGAAAGTGGTTGCTGCACGAGCCAGTGAAATTTCTTCTATGACATATTCAATAGGTACATCATTATATCCGTTTTAACTAATATTCTACATAATTTGTCAATTATGATTCCTCTTAAATATTAATTTCTTTAGCAACTTTTAGTCAATTTCTTTTTATGGAATTGCAAAAACATTAATAGTTCTTAAATTCTACATGACTAAACATGAATATACAATATTGAATGTTTGTGCTTCTGTAACTTGCAGAAAATCCTGAAATGACAAAGTTGATATTTCAAAAGCTTCCTGTATATATGCGCAGACGTGCCATGTCTCACAACGTTAAAAGACTGCCACGTAAGTTGCGAGAAGCTCATTTAAATCAAATGGCAAAGTCAGGTTTACCACCAAAGAGCAAGCGACCTTCTCGAAAACATCGTAGGAGACCATCCAATCTACTTTCTAAATACAATCGGAGGCAGCTTAAAAAACATTGGTTGGAAACTCACATTTGGCATGCAAAACGCTTTCATATGGTTGATAGATGGGGATATAGAATCGCGGATCATCCAAACGACAAGTGCTTTAGAGCTAATTATCGAGCTGCAACAGAACACTGTCTACTGCAAGATATCTCTTATTATACTTGCATAGAGATAAATGGAGAGGAAAATTTGTTGAAAACAACTTTGAAGACACATTGTAAACCATTTGGCTTATCTTTTATATCGATCAAATATATGAACGGACGTAACGAAGGCACTCTGATGTTTTTTAGAAAAAACGGTTATCCACAATTTCCTATTGGTAATGTGCATTTTCTTTGGAGACCAAAAGAGTCAAATATCAGAACCATTTGGATCTGGGTACATCCTGCTTTTTACATTGATTTCCTTAACGAAATTACGTCGAGTTTCAAGTTCAAAGAAAGCGATGCTGAAGAAGATGTAACTGACGTTACACACAGCCTAAAATATTTATACATAAATGACGCCGGTTGTAAAATGATGATTTTGAGGAATGCATTAAATAGATTTCGACTTTATGGGCCATTGACTCTAAAAGTATTAACATATGCACTACAAGTACCATCCTTAACTGAGTCAGACCTTTTACAAGAAATGAATTCCACTGCTACAGAGGAACAAGATGAGTCATTAAACAATATAAAGTTAAACATAAGTAAGGAATCAATAGACAATGATGTTCTGCAATCTGTAAAGGAAATAGTAATTAATGAAGTTAATGCAGAAGATAAAACAGATTCTAAAATTTTGAGTATACAACAACAACTTCATAACAAAACATGGCATATTGAATACTATAAACACAAAGAGAATAGGGAAGCCTTTAAGGTCCAGAAAAAATTATGGGAAGAATTAAAGACGTCTGAAGAAACAATAAATTTGCCTGAAAGTGTTATAGGACTGACTGTTCTAGACCCACGTTTCTACTTACATGAAAAGAAAATGGAACGTAAAAAAGAAATGACCTTTTTTCAGTTTACCTTAATGTCACCAACTAATTTAAATTATACTCCAATTTGGGATACACAAATACGTCATATTGTCAGTGATACTTGCTTGTCAACGAGCGAATTTAATATGCTCAGAAGTAAATGTCTTGTACCTGGTGTAGCAAATGATAAATATTACAATGAAGGTATTATGGCGAAAATACCTATACTTCTTGTTCCCAGGCCTGGAAGTTACAAAGAAGGTATAAAATAAAAATATAACTGTGCTTTAATAACATATAAAAGAACTATAATAAAGTGTATGTAAAATGTTTTCTTTTTAGCATTTGTAGACTCTGGTATTGACATTATAATACCAGCTGGCTGGGCAATGCCGATTTGGCTAGCACTTGTACAACAATGTGTAAGAGTAGGTGCTCTTCGAGAATCAAGATTCATAGCCTTCGAAAGTTTGAACCCAAACACACCTGATGTCAATGATCCTGACAGTCCTGCGTATATGGAAGAAGCATTGACTAGGAAGGAAGAATTAACTAAGAAATATTTCCGTTATCCACCGAATAGAAGAGTCAATTTTATCAAACTTGGAATTACTAGTCCTTTTTTCTGTGATTGGAAGATATTGATAAAGGAGTGGTCAGGCACTGAAGATTTTTATGTTTTGAGAGATCGCGCGTTTCTGCTGTTTCTGCAAGCCGGCATTCGTCTTCGATCTCCTACCAAAAATAATAATACAAAGTGTCCATATGTCCAAACTACCCAAATCGATCTCCAGGATTTAGATAAGCATAAGAACTGTTTAGTATGTGTTAAAGTGTCTATGATGAAAGGAGTGCCGAATGATTTCGCGATAATATGCATACCGACGTCCGAAGACTTAAAGAAATTGGAAAGCGATAAGCGCTGGATTGGGCCTGAAGAGCAGTGTCACGTTGATTCAAACGAGGCGACGCGTAAAGTATCACGAAAAAATCATTTATTATTGTTAAAACGATTAAGACGGCAAAGAATTCGACAGAAGAAATTGCCGGAAGGTAACGTATCTAAGTTACTGGAGCAATCTACTGAAATTCTAGACAAGAGTGTAGATTCGAACAACGCATTATCTAAGATTATATCTGAGCAATCGGAGAAAATGTCGAAATTGTATCTACCGAAGTGCACGAAAGTTCGCTATTCCTGTGATAGAGAAGTAATGGGATATATAACAGCGGGAGACTTTTCGTTAGTTCGTGCAAAAGGTATCGGGATAGGCTATGTTGTCTTGCCCTCGTTAGTCGAAATGATTAACAAAAAATCGAACATTGTTCTCATCAGAAATACGCAAACACGACAATATAAACTGGCAACATTAGATCTACTGGGCATTTAAAAATAAAATCATAAATGTGCAATTCTGGTTTTATTCTATATTTATTAAAAATTTAATATTTTTTACAGAATGTATCAAATTGTTATAGATACAAGTTATAACTAATCCAAATTGGCGATACGAAGAGGTATCCTGTAAAAACGACGTAGCGGTTATTATTAATAAATAACGATCATCTAAATTACAGGTACCGATTATACAGCAGACAGTTCCATTCATCAACGAAATCTGCAAAAAAAAAATACATTAGTCACTACATTAGATGAATTCAACGTAAACATCATCGTGTTCTTTTTAACATCAATTTAAAAGATTTGTGAATCTAGAACTGAAACACTTGTGATATATCTGTACCTATGTTTCTGCACTTTAAGAGAAAATATATTCCAAAGTTTTCTATGAATAGAAATTGAAATGAATAGACATCAACCCCCGTTCTCTTTCCACGTACAGATATATCTTACTACTTTGTATGATATTTTTCAGAAAAATGAAAAGAACTATTATTGAACTCACTCTTAATGTTTAATTAGAATTGGTAAATCTATCCGTAATAACCGCCATAGCCACCATAGCCGCCATAGCCGCCATAGCCGTAGCCGTAACTGTAACCCGGATAACCATAGCCATATTGAGGATAGTTGTGATAATGGTTGTGATAATGATAGGGATATCCTCCGTAGCCTCCATAACCTCCGCCGTAACTGAAAAAAGAAAATCGTCGTTTCACCGAAACCATCGACATCTCCGGTATAACGTCTTTAGCAAACTCCCGACGCGACAAGGTTTAATTAGCGTTGCGAAAATTGGACTAACGACAATGACAACACAGACTCCAGCAATAGTAGCCCGGGAAAGACGTATAAACTCTTTTCGCCGATTTACACTCTCGTTCGGCACCAATTTTAATACGTTGTTTTCAATATCAAAGAATCCCGCGTAAAAATGTAGTAAAGATCCGTCATTCATAAAATTTGTTTCAGGTGCAACTTTGTGCGATAACGCGACACTTACGAGTTCCAGGTTCGATATATTACTAGAAGATTTAAATTTTAAATGACGTCGTATCCCCCCAAAAGAAGAACATAAGACTTAAATTGAGCGTGTCGTCAGAAACACGAAGAACATGTTGTATTCGCAAAAATTTGACAGATCTCATCAGGAAGCGTTACTTACTACCCGGACTTGTACAATCCAGCGCCGAGAACACCGGCACCTAGAGCACCGACACCCAGAGCACCGACGCCCAGAGCTCCAGCGCCGATGAGTCCTTTACCGAGGAGAGCACCACCCACGAGAGCCTTTCCTAGAAGAATGGGTGCTCTCTTGGTACGCGTTTGCTCATTAGCTGAGTCGGCCGTGGCAACAGCGGTTTCACTTTTGGGCGCTAGCAACAACTTCTGTGGACTTTGCTGCTCCGACTGACTATACTGGCCGTAGACTATGGCCAGCATGGCAACCAGCACTATGATGTACCTTGTCTGCATCTAAAGATAAAACACAAGCGATAAACATAACATCTCCATCGGTCTAATGTATGCAATGATATCGAGAGTATTGTGAAATATTATCGAACTTAAAGAGCGAAATTCGAGACCTAGCAGCAAACCTACGTAACATGACCTTGATTATGCCTGACGTATTTAATCTAGATTTTAGATAATAAGTCAAGGATCGATTATTCAAAATGATGATTGCATAAGTCTCGGTTACTATATTTTAAACATGTTACACATCTGATTGTAGAGAAAAAGGCGGAAGAAATGGAACTCATGCTCTTTTACAGCTTATCGCGTATCGAATAAAAATATGCGACTAAATGAACGAAACAAATCTAATCCGACCTGAATTTATAAATTAACTTTGAATTTTATATTGAAATAAAAAAAATCCTCCTCCACTAGAGTAAACTGTCAGAATTCGCTTTACTTCAACTTTGTGTTTCACTTTGTTTCACGAGTCTTGCAAAGTCGAGAGACGTGAGTTACATTTCTGTACTCGCCCTGATCGCGGCACTGCTGTTTACGTTGTGCTACGTACCTTGTCGAGATCACGTTTTCGAACTCTACCCAAAGCAGCGGCTCCAAAGACTTTTATACGACAGGATCGGATGGCCGCTCCCTACCATCGGAAATTCGTACCAAATTCTTCGGAAAGACGTTGTAAGACATTTTTCTTTCCTGTCAGAAGTGGTGGTGCGTTCGTCCGCCCCCGCCTCGACATCTCTTTCCCTTGTCTCGCGTTTGTGCAACCGAGAACTCGTTTCCTCACGTTTGACATTGAACCCATCCAGTGACTCGATAAGAATTCCGATCTCGAAATCGAATTGCCGAATTAATTATATCTACTTCCTCACGTTCGTTCGCTCTTATCTTCAGGCGTTATTCGTCAACTTTCACGAACCCTTCGACTCGTTTTCCTTGCAGTCGTAGCCTTCACACGACTGCAAGGAAATACAATACGACGCGAGAAGGTCGCATTGTATTTCCATAATGACTTGCACTTAGATACTGAAGTACGACATTTACGAGCTCTTCAAACATTCATAGTTAAAAACTGGAATGTCAGAAGTTAAACAATGACGTTAACGATAAAGAAGCCAAGCGTCGCATGTCTTTATATAATGACCGAACATAGCACAATGATCGGTTACTTCGATAAATAAGGAAAAATCGATAGAAATTACGAATGATTCTGTTCACTCGCACGTAGGACGAACCGCAGGTTCATTGTGACCTTGTTGTATACGCGCTTCTCGGCGATGAATTATACATGGCCTTGCGTAATGAATAGAAATACTGGATGAAAATTAGCATATGGATTTTCGGGGAATTCCGGTCTTCATCCGGATCATTGACTTTTTTTACGTCTGTACGATTTTTTTTTCCAATAATACGAATTCGTTACGAATTCATTAAAAATAACGTATAAAACAGCGTGATAAACCTGCGGAACAATCAAAGAAACGATACGATCATTTATTACTATACTCAAATTTAGTGTATCACCTGATACTTATGAATTGTTCGACTAACTTAAATTTTATTTTTCTTTAACGTAAGAGGTCAATGTTTCTTATAAGTCTCTGGTCTTTAACGTTAGATATATCTGTAACTAATTCTCAACTTTTATTACAAAATCCATCAAAATCCATTTATAATTAATTTTTTATCACTTACAATGTACATACAAGCTATCATCTTGACACTTTTGTTTATGAAAAATCAATTACAAATTAGTCTACATCGATTTTTCCAAGTAATAGCTGGTTCTTTTGATTCCACAACACTATATTCGCACCATTGATCCTTTTCTTGATTTATTCTTAATTTTCCTCGAAATCATATGTAAATGTTAATGTACACACAAGTGGTTCTAGACGTAATCTAAAAAAACTTCAATCATGGGAACATCCCGATTATGGTTATTAACCCGTTTTTAGCCAGTATTATTATTGCTGAAATATTTTATTTTATCGGTTTCTTCGTTGTTTCGTGACTGTAGTTAACATATTTAATGATATTGTTATTACATTCGCAACTTCGTTTCCATCCGTTTTAAACATTCTGATTATATATGACATCAATATTGCAAGATGTTAATGTGTAGTATTAACCTTTTAGCTGCGAAACTCAAAAGTTATATTCTTTTTTCTTCTTTTTGAAGTTTCCGACAAGTAAACAAGACGAAAAATATTGCTCAGATTTGTTAGTTCCACTTTAAGATATTGCAAAGAAGTCGCGAGACATTCAAATCGAGAGATTCCAGCTATTTGCAACGTTAAAGATAATTTTATTTGTACATTAAATACAAAAGAGCTAACAAAAGTGTTAATTAGCGCGTTAAAAGAGTTATATTGTCGCCATAAATAATTTATTTCAAATAAATATGAAAAGAGAAAACTATGACATTTTTTGCGCCTTCTTAGATCCCGACAAGACACGTTCAAAAAGGACTAGAGGAATAACTTCGCCACTAAACAAATGCGGTGTTTGCATGTAATTTTTTTCTATGAAATTTCGTAGCTCACTTATTATATCGAAAATCTAATCAATTATGATATGTTAGAATATATTAATATATATTAATCTAAGAAATTGTCTATAACTGTGCATATATAACAGATTCACACCGTAAAAATAATCAAACAAAGTAACTCTCTCATATATAATAAATTGAAAAGGTTTTAGAAAAAATTAAAAAATTGCGATATATTAATTTCGCTGTGCTGTAATGTGCATATGCAACACGTGTGTATTTATCGTAGCAATATCGCTACTCTTAATGCAGCTATAATTTGATATCTTTTGGGAAGATGTCTGGGAAAATTGAAATTTTCCACGTCGGCATACATATCACTGCGTGCCGCGTTTGCATCCGCTATTTGACTCTTTTTCTTTTATTCCACGTATGTAAATCATTTTGTAAAAGGACCTCGTCGTTAATTAGTCGGTTACTTTAAAATTGAAATGCTAATTTGATTACAGTAGTCCCTAAATTATCACACTTTCTTGCATCTGATTACGTATTATTCTTGCATCTTAAACTCAGATTACTGACATTTATTAAATATAACAGCTATTACCGTTGAATACAAATACAAATTGCGACACGTATGTAAATTAAAAATGTTGTTTGTTAAATTATACAAAAACTATCCTGTAAAATATGCACGATATACGGTAATAGACGCAATTGTCAAACAACGAGATTCTATTTCTTATTGAAAAGCTCATTATATTTCTCTCTCTCTCTCTCTTTCTCTTGGGTTACGGGTTATTCGAGATAAAAAAAGAAAATCACGGAAAACACGATGCTATTTGTGAATGCTTGTCAGAAAAGTTTAGCCTAAAAATTTAACGCCGTATCATACGTAATTTCGTTAAATAATTTAAAAAATGCGTCCAACGGTAAGATATCACTCTCTATTTTTTAATTAAAATCTTCGTGATGAAAACTCTTTAAGAGAATAGCAAATATCGTAATATTCAATATATTAACGACGTGAAAAACATCAAGCAAGTTATAAAATAAATAAATTGCCTTATGATAAAGATAGTAGCAGCGGAGAAGAAGGCAAGGCGAGAAGAAAAACAACGTGAGATTGAAGAACGTGCCAAAATGTTGAGAAAAGAACATCTTATGCGAGAAATCGAGCTCGGTGCTCTAAACACAAAACGTTATCGCACATTATGGCGAGAAATGATGATGAGGATCAAAATGCCGCTAATAGTCGAGGATATGGAAATCGCATGGCGCAATTTCGATCGAGCTGTTGACATCAAGGATTACAGGTCACTATATTTCAAATCAAATTAATCGGCAGACGAATTTTACATATGTCTTATCCTATTTCAATCAAATTCAAATAACAAATAAACAAGTGTATTTTGTAACTTTTGATATGCATTTTAAATAAATTTTTACATATATATCCATATCCTTACAGAATAAGTTTCTTAATGGATGCGTTAGACGAGGCCGAAGAGCAGTATCAAAGGAACGTGAGATCACACATGGAGATCATAGATCAACTGTTGGAAACGTATAGGTAGCGACGAACGTTGAGGCTGGAAATCGAAAGTTCTTAAATAACACTCGCAGCGACTGGATGTGTCTTGACCTCATCACTGCATATAGGAAGAGAATGCAACATAAGGAGCGGAATTATCAAAAAATCTTATTTGAAACGGTCAACCAGGCGGACACTGAAGTCGGCAAAATCGATCGTCAATGGAACGAGGACGAGATCTTGATAGAGTCAATCATTCGCGGCATTGAGCGACAGCACGACGACTCATTAGACAACATCAAGAGCATTACACTCAGTAATGTTATTAATATCGCGCTACTACACTTATTATGCCTCAATATGCCACTTGTGTTCGGAATTACATAATTTTATATGCGCTACAATTTGGAAATCATATTTCGAAATTGGTATAAATTGTGAAGGCTATTTTATATATATATATATATATATGTGTGTGTGTGTGTAGTGTGTGTGTGAAAGCTATAATTTATGTCTTGCTCATGTGAATAATTTAATTATATTACTTGATATAGACAAATTTTAATAAGTAAAAGTTATTTCTTGATCTTAGACGATGTGACCGCTTAATTCAAATTTTATATATGAGAATACATGAGAATTTAGTCGATATTAAAACAAATCCAATCACATTGTTAATTCAAAAGGTAAAATCGACGCATTCATGCAAGATAGCAAGGATGTTTACAGAATTTCCGCGGGTCAACTGGAGAATCAATTACGTAACTCGTGGGATAATCTACGACAAGTTTTGTCAGATTACCATAACAGTAAGTGGGCATTCATAATTTTTATAGCAAACATTACAATACTTATCGATCAACATGACATTCCAGAAACGATGAATCGCCGAAAACGTTACAAAGCTATCAAAGAGAAAGATGAGAAAGATCAGCAAGTGATAGCACAGCAATTAACGCGCACCGCAAATCTCTTCGACGAGATACGAAAACTTCGAGGCAAGATAACAATGTACGATGTTACTGCTAAGAAGGACATTTCTGAAATTCTAATGGAGCACAATTTCTTCCAAAATGCTTATTCTACCATGAAAAATCGTTTACTTTCAGGTGAACAGCCATTGTACAGTGTTTTAGTTGGTTGATTAACGTTCCTGTAAAAATATATGTTCTATAACTTTTGAATATATTTAAGTTACATGTTGTTTACAACATGCTATCACTTGCTACAATAAGTTGTAAACGATTCAGTATTGTAAGAAACACAAAATAATTATTCAGAGCAAACAAAAGATCAAGATCAATTGAAGATATTGACGATCGAATACAACAAGGCGATAAAGCATTTAAAACGTCTTGTAACTAAGGGCCAACAACTGCTTACGTTGATGCAAATCTGTCGCAAGTATGAAACGCAAGAAGAGAAGGTCATTCCGTTTGTCTATTGCACGGAGATAGAAAACTCACTAACGCCCTCGTCGCAGCAAGTCTCTGTTCCATCAGACTTTAACATGATCCATCAGGTTATTTAATTATGCACTCAAACATACTCAATATACCCGATAAAAATCATAGAATATGTAAGAACGTTTCGTAACAGATCATGGAAGATTATCAAGATTTGACGAATTTCTGGCGACGAGTCGGCGCTGTGCAAGTAATCACTATGCAATTGCGATCGGAAAGGAATAAATTGAAGAGCGAGGCGAATCGCTTGCGCGAATGTCTTCATTCTTACATGACGCAGAAGGTAAGAGGAAAAAGTGGAGTAAAGTATAAAATAATTTAATGATGTTTCCACCTCTGAGAAAAACAGTATTCTATCACGTTTTTTTTAATACAGCTTCAGGCTTAATATCACCACTCCATTAAGCAAGATATTGCAATTGTAATGGCAGCCTTAGCATATACATATAAAATTTTATATAACTTATTTGTTCTAAATATAAACGTAAAATTTAGCATTTGCTGTTTTACTCGCTTTCTTTGCTTTTGGATGATTATTATTTCTAGAAAATATAACGATATAAAGATTATAGAGATATTTCTCTTCAAAAAACTACCATTATGATCGTGCTTTACAAAACTGAAATATAAATTTGTAGGCTAAGATGATAAATTTCAACGATCTCATCGACAAGTCTATAATTATTAGCGCGAATATAAAAACAAGGTTTATTCTCAATATGTTCTCTCACACCGTTAAACAATAATAAAGAAATGCAATTAACAAAATATACGATATCTTGTACTCTACATATGTGGCAAGTGAAAAAGAGAGAAGAGCTTAACGATGTTTTTCTAGGTATCGGCCACTTGAAACGAACGGCAGTCTTTTATCTATTTATTTTGCACTCTTTTGCACTGTCAATCGCAACCGCAACACGATATTCAAAGTCTTCGCACGTACAAACACAGCTTAACGTTGCGACACATGCCTATGAGCTATGTGAGACAGCATTTTGTTGCCAGCGAGGAATGTAACTACGCCCAGAGCGATAAGGTACCGCAGCGTGACGAACATATTGAGCTTCAGCCAGAAAATACCGAACAGTATGAAAATACCTGCAAATAAGATAAATATAGATATTAATATTACATATCGACGTCATAATAAATTTCGATACATGAAAAAAATTAAAAGAAACAAGTAGGTTTTTGTTACATGTAAAATTTAATACAAACTTGTAGTGAATTACGGGCTACAAATGTGACTTTATGTGCATCACACTTGCGAAAACATCACGATTTACTATACGCCCGAGGAAAACAGATAGACACATATAGATTATCATCTGTCAAGCAAAATCGGGCGTTTAAGCGTATGCTCTTAGGCCCGTGTTAATATTCATTACTCGAAACTTCTTTCAACTGAGATACTCAGATCTGAGTTTAGAGTTAAATGAGAATTTTCTAGTTAAATCATGATTGTAGATATAATGTTACATGTATTATATAATTTAAATGAAAAACTTGGATTTAATTCTAAGTGAAAATTCCGAGTATCTCACATGAGACAAACTTCAAATAACGACTATTAATACTGGCCTTAGGGGTTGATACCTACCTCCTAATCCAAGATGGAATGCAATCGCGCTAAGAGATAGCGGGAAATTTGAGATATTGACACCTAGCCGAGCCCATAAGATCAGTAACAGCAAAACCGGTGACAAGCACAGCCCCGTAAACAAGTTTGATACAAAGGCAGGCGGTCTACGTTCGGGTTCGCGGAACATGTGCTGAAATAAAAAATAATGATAAGTTGTACATAAAATAATTCAAGAACAGTTACAATTTGTGTTTGACGAAAGATAGTGTTTGTCAAGGTACAAAGAATATAACCAAATAGTTGTAACCACAAATTTGGAAATATACTGTAATGACTTTGACATATTCCTCTACCAATGTTTTGGAAGTGACAAAATTATCAAAGACTTTCTGTCACTAACGAGCATTGGCGAATTTTATATACGTTTAAACGAATTTTATATACGTTTAAACGAATGTATAAAATAATTACCTTTATTTCTGGCTTGGTAATATACATATTTGGTTTTTGCTTATAAGGGATATTTTTATCGGTATCTTCCATCGAAGTTATCTCGGGGAACTTCAATGTCACCGTGCCTATGTTGAAACGGAATGGATTGCTGATCACCGCATCGCCAATGATCAATTCTACATCATAATCACCACTCTGATAACCAAAATTCACGGCTGCTGTTCCCACTGGCTAAAAATGTCATTTGCAAAATTTATATTTGAACAAATTTTTGTGTGAGAGAATGAATGGTTTTAAAACTCAAAAACTCGCAAAACTACCATATCGAATTTGTAGACATGAGCAGCGTCAGGTTCAGCAACGAAGAAAATTTCATGACCACGCTGTTTGTTATTGGTGGATTCAGCAACAGATGTGAGACGTACGAAGGCTTGGTGCACGCGCATCGGTTTCTTATTGGCGGAATCTCTTAACAAAAATCGCATAACTAGTTTCTGCTGAGAATCTGCTTCTATTTTGTGTTCGAGTTTACCCGAAGGCGATTCTGTATTTATCCTGGAATACAAAACGTAATTAGAACTGTGAAATAATACATCTCTCTTTCGATAAAAATGTAAAATTTTATAGGAAATTACGAAAAATATTATTACGCAAATACCTCGTAAGTTTTGGTTGAGTCGTTTGGTCAGCATCGCCAGTACCGATTTCCAAATAATCCAATACAGTTTCAGATAAAACCTTTATGGTAATCGAATTTGTGACAGACGCTGCGGTTATTGAAATCTTGTAGAAACCGCGATCAGGTTTAACATTCATAAGATTCATTGTGAACAGAGTTCTATGGAAACACACAAAACGTTACGGAATATATTAAAATACATGCCACATAAAATATATATTACAAAAATATTGTTTGTTGAATTTCTTAACCTTGATTATATTAAAAAAAAAGGTTAAAGGTCTATTCAACAACTATTGTTATGCCCCAAGGTATAGCTGATATCAGCACAGAAAGACTGATACAGTAAAGTATTGGGGACTAAGCATATTTGCCTTATAATATCTACATAAATAGAGGAGCTGATTCCTCGTAAAACAAATGCACAGAAAATTGTTTTGCTTAATGGTGTAGTCTTCAAGAACAGTTTTACATATAAAAATATATAGTACATGCCCAAATTTTTATAAACTATGTTTAACTATGTTTAACAAATTGTGCTTACTTGTCAGTTGAGAGTTGCTGCAAATTCTCTTTACTCAATATAACGACATCGTCTCCTACTCTTTTGGCAGAGTTTGCAACAACATTTGGCACAGTTGGCAATGCTTGACCGAGAATATCGCAAACTTTGACCGTGACCAATGGTTGCTGATTGGAGATACTATTTCCTCCATCAAGCAAGGTTATGCAAATAGGCTTCTCAGGACTATCGACGGCCAGAGTAGTTAAAGCAGACAATAAATTCATAACACCTTTCGGGGTTTGCACAGAACGCCGCGAAAGAAGATAATTGCTGAACTTGACAATTTGTTGGAAATTTAATGGTGGTTTCTTGTTCAACGAAGTCGACAATTTGAGAATACCATTGACGAGAAAACCTAAGAAAATATTTAAAATTAATTAAAACTCAAAATCTCTCTTTCCACATATATATATATATATATATATATATATATATATATATATATATATATAAAATTAAAAAGAGTTAAAGGGCTGTACTCGTAATGGAAAGGCCACCCTCGAACTGCATATATTGGCCATCCACTTCGTCAGCTTGCACTACAGTATCTTCAATGCGGTCGAAAGCAAATGCAGCTGGAGTGCCTATATCTGCAGCAATGTGGAATGTGTAGCCTGAGCTAATAATGTAAAATTAAATCAATTGATATATTATTTATGGCAAAAATATCAGAGTTTGTATTACTATTAAATATAAAATGCTATAACTTACTTCCATAAGCCATCATCCTTTCGCAAAGCTGCTTGTATTATTTTGATTAATTTGTCAACTCTGGCAGCAGGTACCTTCTGTGACAAAGCTGTTAAGCCACTCACCGCATAGTACAAATCAGACAGTGTAGAAGTATCTTTTTGTATAACATTTGTCAATATCTATATAAACATATTTTTGTTATGTAATATTCTGTGACTCACTGACACTATATCTAATTTTAAAGATATCTTGTTCAGTAATAATCGTTGTCTTCACTGTTTATGCAGTAGAACGAAAGTTTTTTAAGCATCATTTAGCTGACAACTGTGTATCTTATGATTCTTATTGTTATCATATATTACCTTAGTCAGAATACTTGTAGGAAACTCCTGGCAACTTGCAATAGTTTTCCATATAGAGGCAAGATAGAATGCTGTTTCAGGACTAATATTTTCTCCATTGGACTTTATCAAATACTTGCAGATAGTCTAAAAAATCAAGTAAATACTGTTAATATAATAATAAAAAATATTACAAGTTATGGTGAAGGAAATATTATTGTCAGTAAGACTAATCTTACAATCACAAGATTTCAAGAAATACATTTTTCATCATATAATTTTTATGTATCAATTATTTCAAAGAGATTGTATTAGACAAAGAAAAATAATTACATCTGTTTTTGGTATAGCTTCTCCAAGAAGCTTATATCCACTAACAGCATAGTATACAGTGGATATATCTTGTAACTGAAATCCTGGCTCAAGGATACTCTTCAAACGAGCTTTATCGGCTATGGACAGGTATGAATTTGTGGATAGGGAGACTTCTGCATGTGTAGAATATGCACTTAATGCTACCAGTACTAGTGGTAGCACAGTTACTGAAAAAATGAATAATGATAAGATTGCTTCTTTTCTTACAATCGGATTCAACTTAAGATTCATAACTTAACGTATTTCGTTCTTCTATACGAAGAAATTGTGGTTAAGTCTAATGCCAAATATATACAACCAAATCTATCACTTAATATTCCAAATAAAATTTGAAAGGCATAGAATCCTGTTACTATAAATTATGTGAACGGAATTTGCGAATATCAGTTAATAGATTGCGGAAATAGTGCAATAAATAATTTGGCCGGACATGCGGCATGACCAACCGCTCTCGAGCCGACCGGTGCGGCTAAAATGCAAGACATTTATATTTCCTCATGTCAGTATAATTTCGTCACGAATAAAAAACAAACGACGTTGAGATCGCATGTGCTAATGCAATACTTACGAATAATCATGTTGATTCTCGAGACGCCTCTCAACCCGGCCGCCACGTCGAACCTTCGAACAAAATGGCCTTACCTTCTCCATTGCGCGTGTCAGGAAAAATGGATGATAGGAACGATTTGCCCGTCCGGAAATGACCACGAGAGCGGAAGCCTCTAATGGTGGTGACTCCCGCGGACCGAACGAGTACTACAATTTAAAGATGCCGCTAAAGTGCCTTCCATTTTTTGAGCCGAACGCATATCTAAATATTTATGCATCATGACTCGGAGCTGTGATGGGATGACAGCGGTAAATACTTAAAAATTTATTTTCGTGTATAAAGTTAAATATAAAGTTGAAAGGTAAATGACAAATAATGCAATATTAGCTTGACCGAAAAGAAAGTAATTCTGAATTTTTATAATTATTCTAATAAAACTAATAATAACTATAATAAAAACTAATAATTAACGGGCATGTACAGAGTAAAATTTTCAAATTAATCTCATTAGAAAATTTGTCTTTTTCAAATTCTATATTTTATTTTTTTCAATTATATATATATATATATATATATATATATATATATATATATATATATAAACGAGATTATTTATCTAAAAATACAAGTTAAATTTAATATATCTGGAAACTTTGACAAAGAACGATGTGCAATCTTGTAAACTTGTTTTCGAAATACTTCTGTTTAATATAATAATTAAATATATATATATATATATATATATATATATATATATATAT